TCTTTGCAAGTAAATTAGTCATGTTTTGTCCAATTGGAGTTACAAAAATTCATGTTGTAAGAGAAATGCCTATATTTCTGTTGTTTCTGAGTGCCTGTGTACTTGTTTACATAATTGGCATAATTGTGTGTATATAGTCTCTGTTCCTGGGAGCAGTGGAGTTAGCTGCCTCGGTGTGAATCCTGACTCTCCAATTGATAAGCTGTGTGACCTTGAGCAAATTACTTAACCTCAGTTTGCTTGTAAGTAAGGTAGGGATAACCATAGCACCTACAGCGTAGCAATCAGACTTGCCCAGTGCTCAGAACAGCTCTTGGTAATAAATAGTAGTCATTTTCAGCTTCAGCATTTTATAAGCCTTTTCCTATGCTGGTAAAAAATGCTGTGAAATGTAATATTCTGTGCTGTGGACATACCATCATGTTAACTTTTCATCTACTATTGGACACTTATACTATTTCCACTATTTCCAGATTCTTGCCATTAGATTATTCACAGCATTATGTGTGTGTGTGTGTGCGTGTGTGTATGCACACACACGATTTTTAAAAATCAGTGCATACAAAATGGCTATGGGCTAAAACTTCAGGCTCCTAGGACGAGATATTTATGGAACTTTTTAGTGTCGTTTGGCCACATTCTAGAAAATATAATAGCATGGGTTTTTCATTTAGAAAGTTTGAGACATGGTCTTCATTACTTTTTCAAATGCACTAAATCCTCTTTGCATACTGAAGACTCTATTACACAAGGTATCATGGTTCCTTCTTCTAGGAGGCAGAACTTTGAGGACAAGATGCAGAAAGATACAAAAGAGACAAATCAAAAGGTTGTTGTGGGGAAAGTCCCCTAAGTGCAGAAGGAAGGACAGAATCTCACTTCTCAATGTTACTTCTGAGTCCTGCTGGGAAACTTGGCCCGTCGGGTTGGTGGCTGGGATTCCCGAAAGAGGTTTAAAGCAGTGTTGGTTTGTTGTTGATTGTCGTGTGGCTGGCTGTGCTGACAATGATGGTATTCTCTCCCACCCCCAGGTCACCACCTATTTGCACAAGGACTACAACAACCTGTGGATTATCAAGAAACATAATACAAACTCAGGTAATGTGGTGGGGAACTGATACTTCTTGTAGTGTTACTTACTTTGAGCCCTCCTTAACATTTCTCATGCCTCCAAAAGAATGGTACTGAGTTGGGCTTCCCTGAGCATTCTTGGACATTTTTACGGGCTCAGTGATCCTTTCAAGAATTTACTGAGCACCTTCTATGTTCCAGATGCTGTTGTCAGCCTAGGAGATTAGCAGTGAGCAAGATAGATAAGATCTCACAGTTTGAGCTGTCATTTTGAAGCCAGAGAGTAGGGCCAAGGCTCAGACTTAATCCAGAAGAGGTCACCTGGGCATGCCGCCAGGGGCTGGTGAATAGCCCCAACTGTGGCACTTGGTGGCTGCTCTCATTTCTAGTTTAGAGCACACCAAGCATTGCACACTCCGGCATATGGTGCATCTCCAGTTGTCTTGATATGATAGAGTGCTGCTGCCCACTGGTCATCCCTGGACTGGGCCAGTCAGTTGAAGATCTGAGGGCCTGCCAGCCCTGTGGCTAGGCTTGTCTAGGCTGGTGTCTGGTAGCTTATTCAATGCCTGCTGCTCTGCCTCTGCCTGGCCTGGGAAAAGCTTCTCTGAAGCACACCTATTGGGCTTTCAGGGCTTTATGACATGGGCTATGTCTGGATCTTCCCTTTTTTTTGGTCAGATAGCTAGCTACATATAGGCTGTGCCTTCTGCTGCAGCTGCGAAGGGAACAGAGGGCATCTCCCACTCACTCTCTGAGCCCCTGCAGATTGTCCTATGCCACAGGTATTCTCTGTAACTTCTCAGTAAACACCACCTGGCTCAGCCTGTCTAGTCAGCTGCTCCTGAGCCTTTGTGGGAGGTGGCAGATGCTCATCTAAATTCACCATCTCTGTTCCTTTCCCCATCTCTTCTTGCTGTGGTTTTTGGATTAGAAATGTGGCATACACAACCACTGTCTTTGCATCCTACACTCAGTAATAGATATTATAACACTCCNTCCTTCCTTCCTCCTGTCTCCTTGCTCCTTGATTGTTAGCTCCTGGGAGGCTCAGTGTCCAGCATAGTGCCTGGCACAGAGTAGACTGTGAGTAAAGTTTAGTGGTTATATAAGCACAGACCTGGGAACCAGACTATAGTATTTGGTTTGAATCTTGGTCCCACTAAAGTATGACTTTGAACAAATTCCCTAACCTTTCTGTGTTTCAGTATCCTCATTTTTAAATTGGGGAAAACCAATTGTACCTCTGTCCTTCATAGGGTTGTTGTGAGGATTAAATGAGATAGTAGATGTAAAGTGCATGGTGGAGGGCTAGCCATGAGTGTTATCTGAGTGAATGAGCGGTACTGTGTCCAGGTCCGTGTTAAGGAGTGTTAGGTGTGGCTGCGGTGGACGGTGCCTGAGAGGGAGAAGCAGGCTGTGAAGAGGCCTTGCATGTTCCAGTAGGTTTGACTTTGTTCCATAGACACTGGGGAGGCATTGGAAGTTATTAAGGGATGACAAGATGTGATTCGATCTCTAGGGTAGAATGATAACTCTAGCAGTAGTGTGATGGATTGCAAAAAGGAGCAGATTGGAAGCAAAGAACCAGTGAGGAGGCAGCAATTGTGACACAGGATGGTGGATTGAGGAGGGAGGTGTGCATACATGAACACCACAAAACCTAAGCATCCGTGAGCAAATCCGAGCTGGGCGAACTATATACAGCTTTCGTTTCAGGAGTGTGGACTGCCAAAACTTTGTAGCTTCATAGCGTCTTGTGTATTCTTAATACCATGACCCCTAATTTTTTTTATGAGAAACCAAAAGCCGTTGAAACAAAGCAGCAACAATACATGCGTAAATTCCTATCAAACTACCAAGGACATTTTTCTCAGAAATAGAACATATAATCCTAAGATTTATATGGAAACATAAAAGACCCTGAATAGCCACAGCAACCTTGAGAAATAAGAACAAAATGGGAGGTATCACACTACCCGACATCAAATCATACTACAAGGCTATACTAATCAAAACAGTATGGTACTGGCATAAAAACAGACACATAGGCCAATGGAACAGAATAGAGAGCCCAGAAAAAACCCCATCCGTATATGGTCATTTAATCTATGCCAACGGAAGCAAGAATTTACATTGAAGTAAAGATAGTCTATTTAATAAATGGTGCTAGGAAAATTGGACTGACACATGCAAAAAAATGAAAATGGACCACCTACTTACACATATACGAGAACAAATTCAAAATGGATTAAAGACTTAAATGTAAGACCTGAAACCATAAAACTCCTAGAAGAAAACATAGGGAGTAAATTTGCAGACATTACCCTTAGTAATATTTTTACTGATATATCCCCTCGGGCAAGGAAAATAAAAGAAAAACAAACATA